AGGGAAGTTCTTCAGTTTTTTTCTAGGGGAAGACCACCCTGAGGCGTTGTGGCTCGAACAGTTTTAAATGAACGCTGTTCACTTCACAGTTCACTCATAGCGTGTCTGACAACATGGGTGGGCCTAACAGGAGCAAACTAAATTTGTTCTTATTTCCTTGATTTTTTTTTTTTTATTATTTTTAAGGAATACCTTGGTATTTGTAATGGCTTATGGTCTTGTACAATATCCTACAGTTATGGGATTGGAAATCCGCTATTGTCCCTTTATTGAACCAGAGTATGTTTAGTCTTTATTGCAACAAAACAAACTCTATGTCTTTCCCAGAAAACCTTGTAGTTTTTTTGGTTGGCTTGTTTGTTTTTTTCCAAAGTGAGTGCTGGCCAGCTAGAAAGATAGCTTCAGGCCATCGCTGTTCCTAGGGACAAACAGAAAACCTCAAAGCTTATTGCTGTGAAGGATCTTTGAAATCTGTAAGAGGCAGGCAAGTCTTTCTACCTTTCCTGAAATTTTAATTTGCTGCTATAAAGGCACATAGTGTTCTCTTCGTAGTAGTGTGGTTTTAGTTAAAAGATGTTTTTGTGTTTCAGGATGACTCACTTGTAGTGTGGAAGGAAGTGGACCTGACCCGGCTGTCAGAAAAGGAACGTCGTGATGCTTTGAATGAAATCGTTATCCTTGCCCTGTTGCAGCATGAGAACATCATTGCGTACTATAATCACTTCATGGATAACACCACGCTGCTGATTGAGCTGGAGTACTGTAATGGTGAGATCCCTACTCCCACTTTTAAACAGGTGGCTGCCACATTGCTGAGTCACTCTCCTGCAGAACCTGCAGGGAGTACTCTGGGGTGTCCTCTGGGAAGCGGAGAAGTGGGGGTGAATTCCACTGCGTAGCACCTGAAGAAAAGATTGAGAACGCTTCTGTTTGACTTGTGTCTCAGATGCCACAGAAAGAAGTCCAGTAGTTAGTGCAGGCAGTTCAGGCAGTAGATGATTTCTTGAGTCTTCTGAGTATCTGGCGCAGTGGAAGAAGTGGGTTATTGCTAATGTATGCTTCTAGTCCGCCTTGCTGTGTTCTTGTAGGAGGATAGTGGGAAAAGACCAGGACGATATTCAGGCTTCTCTGCCAGTACAGAGTGGGGCTGTTTTTCAGTAGCATCACTTAAATAGACCCCTCCATTTGGCAATTATAAATCAAAGCTCTGAAATCTGCTGGCACACTGCAATCAGGACTTTTTCCTGCCTTATGCTATCAGCTTCTACGTTTACTATTAAAAAAAATCTAGTTCTTCTGGTGGTGGAGAAGACTTTAAAGTTCCATCCAAGAGTAGATCAGATGGTATTATATGGAGTTTGCAGAGGAAACAGTCCCAGCTGGGATGGATAGGTAGAAGGATTCGATATGAGGGTCTGAGTTGCAGCTGCTCTTAGGCAGCTGGAAGAGGAGGTGGTATACAGCAAATACTGCTGGAACAGGATCCCTCCCTAGAACTGCAGTATGGTTCCTATTTGGATGAGTGGGACAGCTCCCCTGGCTAAGTACCCTGTGTGTGTTTGGGGGTTAAGTTAAGCCTTGGCTTGTCAGCAGAAACTTTTTTTAGTGGAAAAGGCTATCATCATGTTGTCATCGTCTTGGACAGATTGCTTTCACTGGGGCAGGTTGGGGAGGACAACGGAGTTGTGCAAATTATTTTTGAAGAGTGTCAAACACCCTGGTTGGCAGGTTAGCCAAAGCTGGTTTTGCTTCTCTGCTTTTTATTCTTATGCAGGATGGAGACCAGCGCAAGAGTAGGGGAATGTTAGCTCTTTGATGCACCATTTATTTTAGGAGTACTCTGTGTAAGTTATTTAGCTGCTCCAAAAAGACTGCATGCTTGGGGCCATTATAAATTCATTGGAGGGTGTAGAGAGAAGCCTGCATGGTACTGGTGTCTGTGTATGTTAATGTCTCTAAACTGTTTGTTTTACTTTAGGACAAGAGCCAAGAGATGAGTATATAGCCTGCGTTGCCTGAATATGTCTGAGTGCTACAGGACTAGGGACGTGAGAAAGAGGAAATCTCACTTAGGCTTATGGATATCTTTTTTTGTCAATGTGTTAATGGTTGTTTCTGTGGCTTTTGTTACAGTGTACAAGTCCAAGATAATTTGTGAGTAATTTTTAAAGTAAGGCTGGACTAGTCGCTATTGGACACTCCTCAGAATCCAAAGTTTTTAGTGTTTAATTGGCACATCTCTTCTGGAGATCTGGGAAAGACTTTAAAATTTGAGTAAATATTATCCCCATTTTACAGGGGAGGAAGCCAAGTTGTTGATTTATTTGCCTATAGTTCTGTATGTATATCATGGTACCGTAAGGCTTCAGTTTATCATGGGGTAACATCAGTGAATACATCTGAAATAGATTTGGGAAGAAATACCCTATAAAATACATTTGTTGAAGAAAGAATAGAGTGTCAGAAAGTTAGATGTGGTTAGATGAAACAAAGAAGAAAGTAATTTGATTTTAGTATGTGTGCATAGAGCTATTGATTATCTGAATCAAGAGCTAACTTGTTGCCTTGTGTAGGATTTTTACGATGTAGTACCTGTCATGCTGCTCTTTGGTTCAGAAAAGCTGCAAAAATCATGGCAAAAGATCAGAGATGAGGAACAGAATTCACTGAAAGCCTGCATAGTCTGAATCACTAGGAAAGAGGCTCATAAGAAGAGGCAGAAGTGAACACTTTGATTCCATTGTGAATGTGAAGAGTGATTTGTAGATATTTTGCAAATATGATCATAAGGCGGAAAAAAGAAATATTGAGAGGTTATAGCAAGGCAGAATGAGAAGAGATTAAGCGAAGGGAATCTTAATTAGAATATCAGGAAAATCTTCCTAATATGGAAGTCTGAAATAAGTCTCTCAAGGAAGTCAAGGAGCCATTGCAACCTGCTTTGGACATCTACAACTTCACAGGCCCATGGAAATCATACAGCAGAAAGCTGTCTTGCACCATACCCATGGGAATGGGAAAGGGCCTGGTGTTCCGTTACTATTAGGACATAATATATGATAATTGGGAAATGGAATAGCAACAGGATGTGATCAGAGATTTGGGATTTACTGATAGGATGCTAATCTGACAGGGAGTCTCACTGCCTGCAGCCTTCAGCATCGTTTCTTTTAGCTCTCCTTGATTTTCAGTCTGCTATCTTGAAATTGTGAGGTGCCCTGAAAAGTCTGCTGATTTCAGGCTCCTGTTGGTGGTGCTGCTTTTGTCAATGCTTTGTGAATTCTGCATCAATGTATTTGGCAGGGCAGATGAAGAGAGGCAGGTCAGAGCTGGGCAGTAAGCGGGGAAAGGCAGTAACTTGTGCTTTGAGGGACTACTCAACTTATAATTACTTTCTTTCTCTTTTTCTTTCTTTATATATAATGCTGAGCAGGACAATCTCACTTGATTAGGTGTACAGGTTATAAATGTTTACATATCCCAAGAAGCACTTAGAGGTAAAAAAGTAGGGACTGCTAGCCTGTCTTACTGATTCACTTTTCGGAGTGTAATAAATGGTGATATTAAAAAAGAATCATTTCTGCTTAAGCTTAGATATGCCAGTGAAGTTCTTAGAGTGCCTGACCAGTTTGGGTTGCTGAGAGCAAGCTGTAGTGATTCACCAGACTTCTTAGGGGATTTCAGTATTGCCAGCAGTACCTGATAGAGTAACTGCTGCCTTTATCTAAGATGAACCTCTCTGTCTTTCTCACTCACTTATAATTACAGGAGGGAACCTCTACGATAAGATTCTGCGGCAGAAAGACAAGTTATTTGAAGAAGAGGTAATTTGGACTGGTTTGAGGAAGCAGTGCAGCTGTCCTAATGTTCTGGGAATCGGTCTGGTTGTCTGAGTATTTATACAACGTTTTTTCCATAGTGCTGGTGGGAAATTTCTGCGTATATCTGGGGATTGACATCCTTCCTTTCCTGTTGAATATTGCAAGCATTTATGGACTGTCAGAAACTTGTTATTTTCCTTTTTGGCTGTCTATAAGCAGTATAAACTTTCAAGGGAGGAATAATGAAAGACAGTGCTCAACTGACTTTGGTCACCTTATTATCTTGGCTAACATTTCACTTCAAAACCTCTTTCTATGTTTCTTCCTGGTTGGTACTCAATTTCTCTCTCTTCTTAACCATTTTGTAGGTTCTTTTCTGAGTAATTACCTTGAATCTGTGTCACCATAGATTTTTGTTCTTTTTTTCTTTCTTTTTCTGTATTTCCTTTTTAAATTATTTTCTGCTGTCTGCTTTCACCTCATACTGAGATGGTTAATGAGTATACTTATTTATCTTATATAATGACTTTTAAGGCCTTCCAGCTCATGGTGAATATTAAATCATCACAGTTCATATTCCAGAGAGCTGAACTGTAGGTCTTTCCCAGGTGGTCATGAGCTGTCATTCCTAAGTCTTTTCACTCATGGAATTCTGTGGTGCTTGTCAGGACAGACACTATGAATGGCACTAAAACAATCTACCTTTTGGATTATCTTTTCAGAGATTTCCAAAACAGGAAATTCTAAACTCTAAAAGAGCGTCCAAATGGTATAGTCAGTCCCTTTTGCAGTGCCTCTATGTGACAGGCATATATGGGGTTTTGTGGGGGTATTTTTGAGCCTCACATAATGCTTTTATTGCTTTGCAGATGGTGGTTTGGTATCTCTTTCAAATTGCATCAGCTGTGAGCTGCATTCATCGAGCAGGAATTCTTCACAGGTAAGTGTGGCATGCAGTAAAGCTAAGGTAACCACTGTGGTTCATGGATGTGAGTACAGAACTCCTTTGAGTAACCTTTGCTTCTGTGTTTAAAGCAGGCACTGAGCTTCTCTCCAAAGTGTAGCTGGACTGCCTAGATGTATCACTTCTGTAAAGAATTTTTATTGGGCTAGAAACTGTCTTGTGATAAATGTGCAAGAAATTTTGTATATGAAGATGCAGTTGCTGTCTTTGATGCTGCAGCTTTTTGAACAAAGAGTTAAGCCATGTAGGAGGGAAGTAAATTGGCCCTTTATTGCCATAGCACATAAATGATGTTTGCTAAAGTAGGTAGGAAGAGCAGTTACTACAGGCCAAAGGTACTTCCTATCTGCTCCACAATGAATAACTTCAAACCAACATGTACATCATTCTGTAATTACTGGAGGCTAACAGTGGTGAAGACTTTGCATTGGCGCATTGCTGTAATATAACCCGTGTGAAGATTTGTCCTGCGTTTGGCTGAATCTCATTTCTTTAGCCTGTTATTTAAGGAAGTAATACGGCTTGTTAGCTGGTAGTGGTGATTCTGACATTGACTCTGAGATTTTAATGAGTAGCTAATTAACATTTCTGTCGCCCTTTTCTGTTTGGGAGTGGTAAATTTCATGGCTTATGTGTGCTTCAAGGAGGCCATGATGTTTTGGGAAGTACCACACACATGGACAGCTGTTTCCCCTGGTTGGACTGTGTGCTGCACGACATCCTTCTCTAATGAGCATAGCTGTGTGAGGATGTTTTCTGTGGGATAGCATCCTGGTTGCTGCCATTCTAAATCTGTGATAATTGGCAAGCCTTCCTAATAAAGGGTTGGTACCCTACAGTCAACAAAGGAGTGCCTAAGTTTTTGACCTAAACCAGGTGTCATGTTGTCCTGCTTTGCAGTGAGTTCCTGCTTATCACCTCTGTTGCCCATCTTCACAGCAGGGTTCGCAGTCTAGGAACATGTGTGGCCCCAAATCCTTCCATAATAATGAATTGAACAGTTATTTAAATGTTTGCAGTGATTTCCTTCTGCTGCAGACATTGTCAGAGTGACCCAGGACTTTGCGATGCCCCAAGTGGATGAATGCAAAGTGCTGCTTTACTTGGTGTTGTCCTGATCTACACTGGGAAGTTGTTGATGGTACGTTAGGAAAAGGGGGTGTTATGAAGCATTGGCCATGGGAAGCATATCATACTGCGGGGGCTTCCTCTCTGTATTTACAGCCTCGTATATTGATCTGTGAAACTACATATAAATTATTCTGTCTGGGAGAAAGTGTTTTCAATGAGTTTTGGAATTCAGTATTTTTGTGGCCATCAGCCTTTTGATCTTCTGGGTGTAGTATGTCATGTTATAAAGAGTTGTTCTTGAGGCATAAGGTAGAGGGATGTTATGATTAAGTTCTAGCGTGGCATCTGTTTCACACCCTCTGTGTGTGCTTATATTTGCATATATACATATTCATGCATACATTCATGTTTTTAGTGAGCTCAGCAGCTCCTGGCTTGGGTCTATTTATAAAACCAGGAAAATTAAGACCTGCTCAATGACCTTCATATGAGAAGAGACTGAGAGGGGGGAAAAGAACTATCTTTGATCTGTGGCCTTTACATAGGCGTCTGGAGCCTGAGCTTTTTCGACTGTGTTGTGTTTGTGTGGGGATGTGATAAAACATGGATAACTGCAATTACTGCCCCAGTACTTGGGGTAGAATTGCCTTTGGAGAGCTCTGTGTGTGTGAGAGAGTGCTGGCAGAGTAACAAGTACCTCATTTGGTGGGGGGAGGTATAGTAATGTGTGGAAAACTGTGAAATCCAGACATATATTTAATTGTCTGCATTTCTTTTTCTCCTTTCAGAGATATAAAGACATTAAATATCTTTCTAACCAAGGCAAACCTGATTAAATTGGGAGACTATGGATTGGCAAAGAAGCTGAACTCTGAGTACTCCATGGCTGAGACTGTGAGTATGTGCCGCCTTTGTGTGCAAACTGAAGTGTGTTTTTCTTTCATCCCTGCATGCCTTGCAGAAGACCAGGGATGCTGTACATTATTGCTGCTTGTTTTCTCTAGTTTTCCCTTCCCCCTTCCCTCAACTTCCCTCAATGTTATCTCACCAACATTGGCATATTTGTTGGTGTGTTGCAACCTGCAGTTATCCCTGCTTCCAGGTTACCTTTTGGAGGTCTGTCCCTCTGCAAAGCACCAGTAGACTAAAGATAAGTCCCACTGTGGGCATGGAATTGTGCCAGAGGCAGTATAGCTGTGCTGGAGAGCACTGCTCTTCTTTTCCTGGTACCTAGGCATGGTACTTCCAAAGATGAATCTATGTAACATGAAGGCAGTGCTATCGGAGCGTACAGAGACAGCAGTATAGTCACATCAGTACAGCGCTCTCCCTCTGGGCTAGTTAAACCCAGCTTAGCAAGTTAAATTAATTTGGTCATGCCGTTGTGCTAACGGGGGCATTTTGCCCTGGATCTGAGATAGCTTGATTGTGCTTGCCTGACATTGCACTGTGCCATAGATACGTCTCCTATCTCTTTAATACTCAGGCTCTGAACTGAATTACAAAGAAGCAAGAGATGCATTTGTGCTTCTTATGGTAACCAGGTGTATGGTTTATTGGTAATGCTTTTGGAGGGGGATGAAGCTTTGTAGGAGAGATTAATTCTGCCAGAAGGCTGTCAAGCTTGGCTTTGTTCCAGACCCTTCCAGAAAGAAGTTTCACAGCCAGAGTTATGACGCAGGGTAAGCTGTATTGCAGGCACCTGAAAGGCTCAGCTTGGATTTCCCAGCTCCATTAACTTCTGTGGTGAGCACTAGGCTTGGAAAGGGAGACATTTTCTGGAGCACCTATCTGCGAAAGGCCTTTATTGTAGTTTGGGATTCAAGCCAGCTTGCACTTCCTCTTACCAGGACGTATTATTAGATTTAATGCAAGCTATTGGTGTTCTGTTGGGATGTGTAGTTAAATAAATACTTGCCAACCTCCTTCCAGAACATGAGCATGAGCACTATTGTGCAGTTGCACAGGAAGTGGGAACTGAAGGCTACTGCATAAAGGCCTTACTAAGCTGGCTGCAGCAAAACCACTTCTGTTTCATCACGTTTTTCATGGCCTTCTGGCTTTCAGAGAAAGTGCAGTCTGTGCTATGAATTTCCAGATTTTTTTTTTGCCTGTGTTGTGTGTGTTCATCTACACCTGTGAGCTCTTTTTTTTTCCTTTTTCAGTTCTGAAAAATTCTAAATTACATACCTTCAACCATATTTCATTCTGTATATGCTGGCTGTGCTCTGGGCTAGTTACTCAATATGTGATCTAATGACCAGTGGTGGTCTGGAGGTAATTTTTTGTGAAATGAGTGCAAAACATTTTATTGTCAGTATTTGTAATCATAACAGTCAAATTATGATTTTGTAAAATGTTTATGTCTTTCTTAGTAAATGCTGATTTCTTAATTTATCGTTCTTTTTCCCATTTGCCGAGGAAGATACAGGAAATATGTCTGTGTCTTTCTTACAGAGAGCTTACATTATCCTTTGCTTAAAAAAGGTTTAGGTGCAGTGTCCTAGTTCTTCGTATGATACTTCAGCTAGGCGAGCTTCTAAACCTTCCCATGGCTAGGACTCCTGCAGCTCTGTAACTGTCATGCTCACTAATGGGAAATGGAAGGGAGACGGCAGATTCTGAATGTGCCCATTAGTTATCTAGTGTACCAGCAGAGCCAAATGAAAGGCAAGCTTTGTAGTCCTTGGAGCTTTGCTGAGAGAGTTGAAGAGAGGGCAACTATAAATTTCTCCTTCTTCTAAATTGTTTTTAATTTTATTTTGCTGTCTAGTTCCTTGCTAGGAAGTGAGCTCCATTCATCTGGAAGCTTCGTTCTTACACCTTTTATCATGTTTGTTCTGTGTCTCCTTGTTGTGACTTTGAGCTATGCCACTATTTCTCTTACAGTTGGGAGGGCTTCTCTATTTAAATACTGGGGTTTGGGATTTTGTGTGTGATGGTGGGGTGTTTTCTTTAAACCAGCTGTTCATGAAAGCCCACTTCTGAAGTGAAGGCCTTTCAGGTGGGACTCATGCCAGTTTTCTACTTACTGACCCAAAAGTAACCCCTCTTTCATTGGAGACAGAGTATCCTTTATCCTGACAGTACCTTGTGATCAGACAGAGTGGCTCTGTAGCCATGGGCTGGCATCTGTGTTTGGAAACTTTGCTTCCCTTTTCCCTCAGCCTCTTATGAGGATTTCCATATGCCTGGTCAGTACATTATTGTACTGATTACCTCTAAATGTAGGATATTTAAGAGAGAGGCAGGTCTTTGCTGCATTCTCATGACCACTACTCTATTGAGAAGTATGTGCCACATCAGGATTTGAGCAGAGAGGTGTCTAGGATCTTCTAAGAAATGCAGGTACAGGCTTGTGGACGAGAAAGGCAGGAACATGCTGCTTGTCCCCATCCCTCCAGCACGTTCGTGGGGTGTGTCATTTGTATCACTTCAGTGCTGTGTCAGAGCTGTGTCTAGCTCTGATGCTCGTGGACCTGTGTGAACATGATGGATGCACAGCTCTTGAATTGAAGGCTGCTGGATCATTTCTGATTTTTAAATGTTATTTTTCCTAGCTGGTGGGAACTCCATATTACATGTCGCCAGAACTCTGCCAGGGTGTGAAATACAACTTCAAATCAGATATTTGGGCTGTGGGCTGTGTCGTCTTTGAGCTGCTTACTCTGAAGAGGACCTTTGATGCTACTGTAAGTCTGCAAACCAGGATGGACTGTGTAACTATTTTTTATCACCCTGAGATTCATACTTCATTCATAGCTCTCTTAACTCACATTTTCCTTTCATTGTTGTTTAAATCTGCTGATTAAGAAAACAATGGACTGGGTGTACCAAGTACAGCCAGAGAAAATACCTGCATGATTTCCTCTACCCTGCACTGCAGGTATGTTTCTGGCTTATGCCAAACCCACGCTTGTCTGCAGGCTTGGGTTTACCAGATGCAGAATACAAGCTGTGCTAATTTGTATCATGGTTGTGAATGAAACATCCTTTTCTCTACAAGGAGGAAGTTTGTGATTGTGTAGTCTTTTTGGTTTTTTCAGCGTTATTAGCTGTGAATTTCTGTGCAGCATTCTGTAGTGAAAACTTCCAGCCTTTGGATTTCACAGGATTTAATCCTGTTACTCTTTCTCAAAGTTTGGGTGCAAGAGAAGTGTGGTCAAGCTGGCATGGAGAGGGTGAAAGGGAGCGTTACTTGCTGGCATATGTGATTTGCCAGCTTGTGCCATGAGATGGCAGAAGCTGCTAGCTGCCATGGTGCAAGATTTTGTAACTCTTAAAGGGCTGATGTGAAAATACCATCCTTTCCCAACTTCCTCTCATTGTGGCTACTGAGTCCCCAGTAACCTTACTGCTGTGCAGTGTTTCAATGGCAATATGCTGTGTAAGAGATTCCATGCAGAGAGAAATCTATTCTCCCTCCACTGTTAGGGAATTTGGTGAAAAGCTGGATGTTGCCACCAACTCCTAGCTGTCAGAGGTACTATTTCTGCAGGATTATTAGGTTTCTGGAAAACCTACTAGGCAGGGGAGAGAAGGATGTGTCGTGATCGGAGAAGGAGGAAGAAGATAATGATGACCTGTAGCATCTTTCTTGATTGGACACATTGTTCAGTTCCCTTACAGCTGATTTCTCGTTTCTGCCTAGAATCCCCTGAACCTTTGTGTGAAGATTGTACAGGGAAATCGCGCCATGGAGGTTGATTCCACTGTCTATTCGCGAGAGCTGATCCAGATGGTGAATTCCTGCCTTGATCAGGTTGGCGAAATACTTTTTTAAATTTTCAGACACCCCAGCTGCCTAAACCATAGAATTCAGGGGTGAAGGGGAATGGCATGCCTGTTTCAGCGTGAGGGGTGTTGATGCAGGGTGATTTCTGTGAGACCAGAGGCATCACTAAGGCTGGGCTTCCTCCAGTCCTCTGAAAACATTGTTTCAAGATGCCATTCAGTCCTGCAGGCTCTGGAGGGATGCTGGGTTTAGTCTAACGACAGTTATTTAATGGGCTGGCAGAAGCAATTGTTTTCTAATGCGGTGCTGCGGAGGTGGGAGCATCGCCTCAGTACAGTCTCTTAAGGTTCTGGCTTTCCGACTGTGACTGCAGCTTTCTGTAGGGAATTAATTTCTTGAAAGCAAATGTACTATTCTATTGATACCTTCAGAGTGCTGAAGTCCCTCCTGCATATCCTTGGCGTTTATCCCTGTTCATTCTAAATACTTGAATTAATACCTTTACCTTCTGAAGAGAGTCAGGGAATGAGGTCTGTGCAGGCTTGAATGAGATCTTCTGGCCCAAGATTTCATTGTAGATGATGAATGTTTCCCAGAGCATGACTTGTTGGTTGCTTCTTTTAGGATCCAGAGAAGAGACCCACTGCAGATGAGTTGCTTGAACATCCCCTTCTCAGCAAACGCAGGAGGTAATCGGATGGCCTTGCCTGAAATCTGGACAGGTGTCAGAGAGAGCAGGAGGATTTGTGCAGACTAGTGGCGTTTATGCTTTTGCAGCAAAGTCCTTAAGTTAATTTGGCCTGACATGAGGCAACTGTTGAAGTACACTTCATCTTCTCTCCTAGAGAAGTGCATTCTTGCTGTTTTATCTTCTGGTCAATCCCTATGTTCTGTTGGTACATAGATATGGTGAGAAAGGTCTCTGCATCCTTTGACTTAGAAGCTGTTGTACTGAGAACCTTGAGGCGTCCCTTTCTGAGGCTCCTTTGAGGAATGCTGATTCATGCTGTTCA